CCCCAAAACCCCAAAACCCCAAAACCCCATTTACTCAATTTCAGAAAAATAGCAAATTTATGATAATCGATTGCATTCAATTATAATTTAATTTAAAGAAAAATAATGGAAAATAAACCTGATAATAGTGAGTCTAAGTAAATATAAGAGAGCAAATAAGAGGAAGTTGGATAAATCTAAAAGCTTAAGGCAAAACCTAAGTAATTAGAAGAGGAGAAGAAGTCTTATGAGTTAGAAAATGCTTAAGTTAAAATTTAAAATGCAGAACCTTTATCAGAAAAGTATCTTATGCCTGATTAGAATGTAGATAATGAAGATGAGCAACAATTTGAGGTAAAAAAAGAGTCCAAATAAAAACTAGATGATAATAAGGTATCTTCTGATATAAAAGAATAATAACCAAATGCTAATAAATAAGATGAACTTTAAGTTGGTAAATAAAAGAAAAAAGAGGAGCCAGATCAAAAGCAGAAGGAATTGCTTCAAAAATAATAAAAAGAAGAGGAGAAAAAAAGAGACTAAGAATCTTAAATGAGATAATAATAAATTGCTGAAAAATAAAAGGGGCTGGATATTGAAGTAAGGAGGGAAGCTAACCAGAAGAAAAATGAAATAAACAATGACTACTAAAAGAAGGTATTTAATCTAAATGAAAAGCTTCTGAAATATAAAGCAGACTATTAAATAGAGTAGCAGAAATAAGTATAACTTCAATCTTCCTACTAAAGAATATAAGGTAATATTGCCGATTATAAGAATAAATAGTAAGCTATCTAATAATAGATTGTTCCATACAATTAATAATGCGAAAAAATAGTTTAAGATATCAATATTCTTAACCATATCTTAGCTAATAATGCTCTGTAATATGCTTAATCTATTACTGCAATGGACCAGGAGCCTTTTCAATAAGAGATAAGAGCCATATTGTAAAAGATAGTTTAGATGGAGCAAAAATTGAAGAAAGAATGCAATGAATTCACTAATATAAAATAGGAATGCATCTAGAGGTTAGTTAATATAAAAATCTAAAAAATAAACAGGAAGAACAAGCTGGAAAAGCTATTACTGTTGCTCGCTAGATTGAGAGCTTAAGTAGATAAATTGAGAAATGGTGTCAAATTATTTATTAAAAATGAGGTGATTTCTTAATTTGAGAGTTAGATTAATGCCATATTTTCTAAAGAAGTTATTACTGATTTGACATCGACTGTGTTTAGATTGAGTTAGAATTAGTAAAAGTACAATCAAAAGAAGCAGATATTTGATATTTAAAAGTTTGATATCAAAGCACAACAAGTCAATAAGCAAGCTCTGGTTGAGCAATTAACTAAAGAGATAAGTGATATATCAAATAATATTGCTCAGAAATCTAAGGAAAGGGAGGAATTAAATAAAGCTCTTTAAGATAACTAGGTAAGATACCCTGAGCACCTCAAAAGCTTGAGAGAAACACTTTACAACAAGAGAAACAAATTGTAAGGTCTTCAAAAAGAATTTGATGCATTACTTAATTAGCTGAAATAGTTTCAAGATTAATAGCAATAAGGAGTAATATTAGTTCAGCAGGAATGCTAATAACTAATGTAAAATATTGAAATCGAGAAATTAAACTTAGCAAACATCTAAGAGGATATTAGAGCTCAAAGAGCTAAGCATAAACAAGATTTTGAAAATCTGAATGATTTCAAAAAAGACTTGTAAAGTTAATTAAAGCAGCTCTTACAGTAAGAATCTTAATTGAAATTTTAGTGAAAGTTGATATTAAATTTGCTAGATAATCAAGATTGCTATTGAATTGGAATTATTTTATTTTAATTAATTTTTGTAAAGTTTATAAATTATTAATTGATGCATTAGCTATTAACTCATCTTAAAACTCTTTTAATTATATTCTCTTAATATTTTCCAGAAATGCCACCTAAAAATAAATCCCCTCAAAAATCGAAAATCAAAGATGATACTGCAATATTTGGAAAATTTTAAAGATTTTCCTTGATAGACCCTTCAATTGACGAGAATAATGCTAGACAAAATAAAAAGGTTATCAAATTTATAAGTTAAGAGGAATTCTAAAAGGAAATGGACGCCTTAGAGTAATAAAAGAAAGAAAGCGTGGAAAAATAAGAAGATGAATTCAAAATTCAGAAGCAGAATGAATATGACCAAACTTCTTAATAAATACTCAATGAAATTATCTAGATTTCTCAAGAAACTATAACACTCAAAATATCAAATCGACAGCAAGAGTAGGAAAATGCTATGTAAAAATAGATCTTATCTCAGACTGTCTAATAAATCCTAAATACTCAGCAAGAAGTTTTGCAGCTTAAGAATAAATTTTCTCAAATCAAGTCTAACCCAATGATATAGCAATCAAGCCAGCAATGCTCCTAATTCATAGAATCAGTGCAATCCCTGAAATTAATTCAAGAAACTCAATTATTTGAAAATTAACACAAAAAATCAATGGAAGAAACAAAAGATCTGTTGGACAAGAAAAACATTGGTGAGAAGTAACTTTAAAAGATGAGTCAGGGCATCAAAGGATTTGGCTAAGAATGCCAGAATTTGATGAATGACTGGACCTAGCAAAAAAAGTTAATTTAAACTCGAGAAATAGCAACTCTAAGAGATGGATCCAAAAACACATTCAAAAGCTTTTCTGAAAGTCAGTTGTTTCCCAGAATTGAGAGAATCAATGAACTACTTAAAGAGGCCGGTCTTCGTAAGGAGGAGTTTACCAAGACTAGTACTGAGATTAAATTTCTTAAAATGGTTGTGTCACAACTTCAATCAAATATTGATAAGTTGCATACTGAAAGAGATTAAGCTTAAAGAACTTTAAAACAAGAAAGTTAATTAAAGTTAAATGCATAATCTTAGTATGAATCTCATTAAAAAGCTACTAATGATGTATTGCAATAGTTGAATTAAGAAGAGAATGATATCTATAATTAATAAGTTAATGTTGTCAGAGAAATAGACAATATGAAGCAAAAGTTGGTAAGTCATAACGATGGAACTGCACAAAACTTTGAGGTTTAAAGTAAATCTTCTGAGAAAGAAATACTAAAGAAGTAATTGCAATTAGTTGTTCAAAATAAAAATAATTATGAGATGGCGTTTAAAGCTAAAGAATAGAATCATTACTTCAGCATAAATGAGGAATAGTTAGTGATTGATAGCCTTTAGAATTAAATTGCTGATGCCTAAGCTAGAATATAAAGAATCTACTAGGAAAGAGGAAGATAATGAAGTGTGAATTCCATTGACTGACTCAATCATTTTAACGACCAAACCTTGAATCAGGAATAATTAATATTGTGATATTTTAATTTCATAAATAACATTTGGCCTTCAACTTCTTAATTGAAAAACGCGGGGTTTTGGGGTTTTGGGGTTTTGGGGTTTTGGGG